AAACCCTCTGATCAAAAATCTGTGAACAACAAAGCTCCATCTTCCCAAGATCGAAAAGAAAGGCAAAATTTGGTCAACCAAACTAAATCTCCTGTAATGAACACCGGTGACGGTGAAATAAAAAATACTGCTTTGAACTCCAAATCAGTTTTGAAGAGAGATGTAGTAGCTGAGAAGATTTTATCATCCACCAATCCATCACCAAAACCTGCTCCTTCTAAATGTCCAGATCGCAACAATGTTATATCATGGTAAGTCCATATGAAACAAAAAAATCATCCAAGATTTTTTTAGCAAAAAATAAATATCACATCTCTCTCTCCTCGGCACAGTCATCATAGGTATTCAATTAAAATCTTCAAGGAAATGAATAAAAACACTTTTGTTGTTTATTTGTACGATCGGTTTCGGGACAATGGGGTAAAACCCCAACTCTTCATACTGAGATGGTATGTCATATTTTTCCCATTTCTTCATGAAAAATAACAAATTCAGTTTGCTTTGGATCAACAAAAGAAAACTAAGGTTATGCCGCTACGCAAATATCTGTGAATTCTCATTGATTGTGTGTTTTTTTAGTTGCCTTTGTAGTCTTTGTATATAACCTACAGCTTGATAATTGATATACTCAATACTATATTACATTCATCATAATAAACAAACATATAAAAAAACTAATTTTCAGCTCGAAAAGCTCAAATCAAAGCAACTGCAGGCAAGTTATGAAATTACCTCACATCAATATCGTCAAAGACACGGTGAACAATCCATTCACCGTCTTGAAAGAAGAAGTCGATAAAGCCAAAGCGGCAAACAAAACATTCACAATTCGGGGATGCTTTCCTGCTATACGAAGAGCGCTTTTGAGAAGAGGCTGGGTGGAGAAATTACATTTTTCTATGAGAGATCAATTGAATTCAGACATCAAAAAGTTCCGTACTTACAGGTAATGTAAGATGTCCTTGGTAATAACTTCTATAGAAACATAGAATTAATCAAGGAAGGATGAGTTAAAGACAGTTCGACTGTAAACAGTTGGCTTCTTCAAATTCATATAAAAGTCAAATTGTAAAAACAGTTTACACCATCACTCTGTTTTTATATACGCACAGATTGTTATAGAGTATGGTACCAAATACTTTGATTACAGAAGAAGAAAAATACTTCTTTATCATATCAATTATCATGAAAACGTTAATAAATTTGACAGACATTGTGACTTTCATGAACATAGAATGAGATCCGCAAGTTCATTGAACCTTCCCACACATAAATCAAAAATCAATAAGAGAAATTCACTAAACTTACATTTGTATATTCATTTTAACTCATCTCTAAAAGCACTGAACCTTGCAAAATTCAAATATACGGTGGAAAAGGTTATTCTCCTACACTGTTTTTATGTCATTGATGAATACATTGACGTGGCAGGATCTTCATCTTGTTAAAGACCTCATTATATTCTCAGACTATTGATTATATAATAATGATTTCAATTAACCTACACTCTACTTTGATTTTTAGGAGATCTGTATTCGTGACTTGCCGTGAATATACCGTGAATATGCGGTAAATAACGTACTCTATTTTCTTAAACTACACCTTACGATTTCATCTGTAGAAACTTTATTTTCAAAACTATCACGACATGTTTCGCTAACACAGTAGCCTTTTCGTAGTGAATATGTTATTCACTATTCACTGCACCTTACGATTTGATTTTCACGAACTTTATTTTCGAAACTGTCAGATGTTTCGCTAAAACAGTAGCATTTTCGTAGTGAATATGTTATTCACTATTCACTGCACCTTANACAGTAGCCTTTTCGTAGTGAATATGTTATTCACTATTCACTGCACCTTACGATTTTATTTTCAACAAACTTTATTTTCAAAACTATCATGACATGTTTTGCTAATACAGTAGCCTTTTCGTAGTGAATATGTTATTCACTATTCACTGCACCTTACGATTTTATTTGCACAAACTTTATTTCCAGAACTATCACATGTTTCGCTAACACAGTAGCCTCCCGATTTGATTTTCACAAACTTTATTTTCAAAACTATCACGACATGTTTCGCTAACACAGTAGCCTTTCCGTAGTGAATATGTTATTCACTATTCACTTCACCTTACGATTTGACTTTCACAAACTTCATTTCCAAAACTATCACATGTTTCGCTAACACAGTAGCCTTTTCGTAGTGAATATGTTATTCACTATTCACTGCACCTTACGATTTGACTTTCACAAACTTTATTTCCAAAACTATCACGACATGTTTCGCTAACACAGTAGTCTCACGATTTGATTTTTTCACAAACTACAAACTTTATTTTCAAAACTATCACGACATGTTTCCCTAAAACAGTAGCCTTTCCGTAGTGAATATGTTATTCACTATTCACTGCACCTTACGATTTGACTTTCACAAACTTTATTTTCAAAACTATCACATGTTTCGTTAACACAGTAGTGAATAACATATTTACTACGAAAAGGCTAATATGTTAGTGAAGCAGGTGATAGTTTTGAAAATAAAGTTTGTGAAGATCAAATCGTAAGGTATAATTTATGA